AAGCCCCCGCCGCCGCCGGGTCCAACCTGGAGCCGGGGGAAGCTGCCGAAGATGAGCCGTGGGGCTTCGGCGGTTTAGCAGAGCCCCCCCTTACTCCGGAGGGAGCGGGGAGCCCGGAAGACCTGGACCCAGAGGATCCTCTCTGCGCAATTCCGGGGACTCTCCGAGGGGCAGCGGGCTTGTTCCTGGACCTTGCGGCGACTCAGGAGGAGGATCGCTACGCGGCCGCGGGGCTCTTTCTGGATTGTCCTTGGGCGGATGCGATGGACCACACCGGCGCTCAGACCGGCCGGGGTCCCCCCTTGTTGAGGCCTTTACCGGCGGCTCCCCCAGGGGCCTTTGTTCCTTCTCTCTGTTCTTCCAACGAGGTCGCCCCCCACTTACAGTTGGGGCAGGCCCAACCCCTGGAGGAAGAGCTCCCTGGCTTTCTGGAAGATGCCCCCCAGCTCCGAACGGTCTTCAGCGCCCTGGACCAGGACGATGATGGGTTTGTCCGAATAGAGGAGTTTGTGCAGTTTGCCACCGACTATGGAGCAGAACAGGTAATCTTGGGTGGGTTTCTGCCCCCCCCCCCAGGGGCCGGTGCTCCCTTTGGTAACAAACGGGGGCCTGTAAGCCTCGTTCATCAAGAAAAGGATGCACTGCAATCCTGTATAGACTTAAACCGTGAAGATGGGTCCCAAGCATTTGACGGCATTACGAGAAGAATTAAAAACAGGCTAAAGAATAGCTTGTTCATCTCTTGTGACCCTGATCGTAGTGGCCTGAAACAGCTGCGATTCTGGCTAATGGCTGGGCCCGGTCTCTTTAGGCTCAGTTTGTCTTGCTAGCAAGGGGTCACCTTACAGGTAAGGCTTGCCTTGTTTCGGTGCTGTTTTCTGCACCTCTGGAACAATGTTTGCCAGGCCCTGACGTGGCCTGGACTCTTCCCTCCGTGCCAGTCATTTTTAGGACAGAAGTGCAGCTAGGGAAATAATTCAGCCCCGCAAAACGTTTGGTTGCTGAATTGTCTGTCTGTCTGTCTGTTTGGGGAAACTGGAGCTCGGTTTGCAATAAATCATCTGGGGAAGCAGCTACATTTCATGTGCCCAAACTCAGGGGTGTAATGGTAACGTCATCTTCTCCTTCTCCAGCAGACTTGAAGGCATGTGATGAAATTGAGTGCTGGCATCTGAGTGAGTTAGGTTTGTCCCAATTAACCCTTTCCCTGAAGCAAGCGCTAAGCAATGTGGGACCTAAGCTCTGATGAAGTTTGTTTGGGGTCGGTTTGCCTTATCTGAATCCAGCAGAGGCTTTTGTAAACCATGATTAATAACTTAGCATGTTGTGGAAGTGCACCTCCACTCATGGTTTATTCTCTAAACCAGTGTTTCTCAACCTTGGGGAACTTTAAAGTTGGAGGGACCTTGTTCCTCCAGAACACTCCCGACGG